ATATATATATATATATATATATATATATATATATAAATATATATATATATATATATATATATATATATATATATATATATATATATATATTATTATTTATATTAACATTTTCAATTTAAAAAAATTAAATTAATATATAAAGATAAAAAAAAATATTAATTATATATTTAAAAAATATATTTTACATATTAATATAAAAAAATATTTTATATATTAATTTTTTATTTTTATTATCTTTTTAAAATATTCTTTACTTTTTGATTAACTTTTTTTTTACCATTATATTAATACCGAAATACTTTTTTTCTTTAAATATTTTACTTTTATAATTAATTTATTTTATAAATTAAATATTAATATATTATTTCAAATTATATATTTTATAATTAATAGTTTATTGCATCATAAATAAAATAATATAAAATAAATTATTAAATTTATATTTATTTTATATCGTAAAGTTATTAAAAAATAAGCTTTATCTATAATATATATATTATTCATAATCAATTAAACAATGTTTTTTTTATATTTTTTTTTAACAAAAAATCAAGTTTCTATTAAATCAATCATACATTAAGAAGTTAATTCATTATAAAAAACTGTTTTTTTACAATCTAAAGGTAAAAAATTAATCAATTATTAAAATTCATTTTTTTTAAAAAAGACATCTTTAAAATCATCCACAATAAAAGCAGTAATATTCATAGTATTAAGTAGACTTTTACATATATATGTGTTTATAACTTACATATCTCCAATAATAATTTGAGGATGATCAAATTTTAATTACTTAACATCTTAACTAAATCGATTATTTTTTTTGCAATAAAGCATTTTGCTTTAGAGAGAAAAATATTTATTTTATTTAAAACTTCTTCAGGATTTAAAGTTAATATTATGATTTATGGATATTTTATTTTATAAATAATTTTTGTAGTTAAAAATAGACAATACATTATTTATTTATCATAATTTTCATGCTGTTTAAAATTAATAAATTAATTTGAATATTTAAATATTAAACATTAATTATCTTATATATACTTTGGAATATCTTTATGATTATATCCAATACTTTATAATATTTAAAGTGTTTCTTAGTCAAGATTTAACTATATAAAAGAATAAGCTTTTTCTATTTTTAATAATAAAGATGAATTAAAATTTTATTAATTTTCTGAAGCTATAAAAGAACATTTAATTATTCTTATAGATTTTATGGATTTAAAAGACTTTAACATTTAATTATAATTAAAATTATATATATATATATATATATATATATATATATATTTATTACTTGAATATATCTTTTTATTTATTTTTTCTTATAAATATAATTAATAAAAAAAATTGTCTTAATCAAATCTGATTATTTAATTTTTTGATTTAGTTATTTTATCTTAAAAAAAAAATATAGAAAAATAAAATAAACTAAAATGGTCAAATAATTTATTATTGTTATTATATTAATATTAATATATATTATAATAATATATATTAAGATCATAATTAAAATTTAATTTAGATATAAATTATTTATAAATAAGTTAAATTTATGGTTTTAAAATAAGCTAATATATCTTAATTAGTTTTAATAAAAAAATTATTGGAATAAATTTTTTTTTTTTTTTTTTCATATTAAATTAAAATTAAATATTTATATTTATAAATAAAGTTTTATAAACATTAATTTGTTTAATTAAAAATAATTTTTTTACTTTAATAAATTTAGAATAAATTAAAAATATAAAAATGTAATAATAAATTAAATATTATATTTGATTTAAATAATATGATATATTAATTGTAAGTTTGATAATATAAATTATATACTATTATATATTTCATAATTATTTATTTTTTAATTACTAAAAATAATTATCTATTTATTTATATGTATTTAAAAGTTTTAAATATAATTTTATTTTATTCATAGAAATCTATTTACAAAAAAAAAAATTTTATATTTATATTTAATTATAAATAATTTTTTAATAAAATAAGTTATTTAAATTTTTATTTTTAAAGTTTTTTATATATTTATAAAAAATAAATGAAATACTCATTATTATGGTTTTTAAAGAATATTATTAATTCTTTCATCATTTAATTTTATCATTTCTTTTCAAATGAGGAGGTGTAAAGGGTGGATTATAGCTTGCAAAAAAATAGATGTGTTAATTTAAATTTTCATTATCTAAAATAATTTAATCTTCTTTTATTTATAAATACAATTATTCAAGTTAACTATTAAATATTGATTCATCAGTAGACCCCGAAAATTAAGATACAGCAACTATTTATTAAGGAATTTTTTCGATAGTAATTGAATTTTAATTAGGAGTAGGGGCTTGCTCTATTTCTATATATTCACGAGGAAGAATAAATTACATTTAACTAGTATAGTTTAACAGTTGATTTGTAGTTTATAAATTTATAGGTTCATTTAGTACAGGTGTGGTCATTTTTATAGATTATCTTTTATAATTTTAAGGAGTTCCAAAAACTCCAATATAACTTGCTAATTTAAAAAATGCTTCATCTTAATTTTTGTTAAATACTGATTATTTTGCTATTATATATGATTAATATTTCTTAATTTAATATGGTTGTTGTTTTAATACCTCGAATTGGGGGGCTCTTTTTCTTATTAGTTATTTGTTATCAATTTTTAAAAATTTATTGTTTAAGACAATTTTTTTATTTATTAATTAAATTTTTATAGTGCTTTTAGTTTTATATATAAAATAAATTGTTAAATTAAAAAAATAAAAAAATAGTATTAAATAATTTCTATTTATATATTAATAATTTTTTTTTAATAAATAATTATAGGTTTTGTTAATTTAATCATAAATAATTTCTAAGAAAAATTTATATCTAATTTATCAATATTTAACTCTAAATAATTTTATAACTAATAACTATCATTAAAATCTTCTAAGCATGTTAAATGACTAAAAGAAGGATTAATTAATAAAAAAAAAATATTAAAGAAATAAATGATTGAAAATTATGTGATATTTTTTTAATATTCAGATAATTTACTAACTTAAAATCTTATTTATTAAGTTTTTTTAATAATCTAAATAAAATTTTAAATCATAATTTCGATGTTTGTATAAAATATATCCAATTCGGAAAATTCTTTTTCATAAATTTATTAAAATTAAATCATCTTCAATACAATTTTATTCTAAGAAAATATAAATAGTAATAATTATTTATTTAATTTTAAAATTATTCATATTCATCTTTATTTATATATTATATAAGATTTCCTAAAAAATTTAAATTTATATTAGTTAAATTCATACTTTAAAGATTCTACATTATTATCATAAATGTTTTAAGTCAATGAATTAAATTATTTATTTGTATTTAATTTCATATACATTCAAAATTATATAAAAATTAAATTAAATAGAAATATACAAAATTTTATTTTACTGTTTTTTTCATATATTATTTACACTACTTTTTTATTCTTTCTTCTTAATTTTATTTAGGCCAAACTGGATTTTTATTAATTAAAACTATTTTTTTAGCTCTATTCAAGATTATTTGTATTATCCTATATATTTTTATTTTATTATAAAAAAGTTACATCTAAACTTTCACAAGAAAATATTTTGAAATTTTTCTTAAACTCTTTAGAAGCTTTTTAAGATTTACTTAAGATTTATTCTTAAATTCTTATTAAAATTAAATTAAAGCAATTGACTATCTTTTTTACTTATACATTGATAATATTTTTACTGTTATTAATTTAATAAAGGATTATTTTTTAGATTTTTAAAATTAAACCTTTAAATTTCTTATATTTATAGGCATCCTAAAATAAAATATTTTGATTAATTAGAAATCCTTTTAAAAAAATATAAAAAAATTAATATTTAATTATAAAATTACATTATTAAAATTTTAATTAATACAAAAATCATTATTAATAATTTTATATTTAAGTTCTTATTTAGTACTAGATTAGTTTCAATGTGTAACCCTAAAAAACTTATAGTATAAAGCATAAATATCACTTTTTTTACTACATTCATTATATGCTATCATTTAAATTCAAAAAAATAAAATAAGTTTAAAAAATAAAAATAAAAAGAGCAATAAAAACTTACTTAAAGACTCATATACAATAGAGTACTAACTGTATAAGAATCTTAAGTAACTTTCTAAATAAGGTATTTAGAAAATCCAAAATTAGCTAATTTTTCCACATTTTTTAATCAGAATATTCATAGGTTTTATATCTCGATGAACAATATTTAAATTAAAAAGCTCTTAGTAACATATTACTATTTTTTTAAAGTAAAAAAAGCTTAAGGCTCTAATATTTATTTGATTTTAATTAAAATATCTTATAATGCACTTTACTCGCATAATTCGGTGATTATATATGTATTATTTTATACTTTTAATATACCTTAAAATAATAAAATATCCTAATTTTTAGATTCCTTTGGTAATATTATTATTCATTTATTTTAGAGCATTAGATAGAAATTTCTTCTTCTAAAATCTTTAAAGTCTTCATGTTTATTAATTTTATTGATTTATATTGTAACCTTTATAATATATAGAGTTGAAGTCGCCTCCAATGAAATCTCAAAAGTAAAAATAATAATACTCAATTAATTTTTTACAATTCTAATTTTCTTGTTAATTTTTTTAATAATTTTTATATTAAGGTTGTTAATATTAATATATTTATTAATTGTTTAGTATTTAATTTTATTAATAGGTATTAAGCTAATTTTAAAAGCTTTAATGTTAAAAATATCTATTCTATTCTTTGTTTTATTTTATTTTTTAAAAAAATGTTTTTTACATTATTTATAAAATTTTAATTTAGAAGTAATTAAAAATACATTATCTTTATGAAATTGTTTATTTTTTATGATAATTAAATTACATTGATCAATAATTTCTAAAAATATTATTTTTATATTTTTTTATGAAATAGTTAACTCTATAATTTTTTTAAAAAGTTAAAACCAAAAATTTAAACAAATTAAATTTTAATATTTTTTTTTTAAATTAAAATTTAAATGGATTAATTTTATTTATATATAAAAGACTAATTTAAATTATTAAATCAAAAAAATTTTAAGAAAAAAAAAAATTGATAAAATTAAGTTAGAACCAGACTTATAAAATTAAATAAGATAAATAATAAAAAAAATATAATATTTTTATACCAAAAATTAACAAATTTTTTTTTTAAACAAAACTCTTCTAATAAATAAATAAAAAATGTAAACTGATACTAAATCAATTTATACAAGCTCTATAGACATAAACAAAATATCAAAATTAATTGTATAAGATAATTTAGAATTTTTATGTACATAAACATCAAATGAAAACACATAATTGCACCTTAAAAAATAACAAGAAATAATATAATAAATATAAAAAAATAACAAAATAATTTAAATATCATCCATTTGCTAAACAAAAGTTCTTCAAAATAATAATTATATAGGATAAATGAATTTAGAAGAAAATGTATGTGTAAAAATAGTGTAAATAAAGGATATTAATATTCTAGAAGATACTCTTTAAATATTAGAAAAGGTAGATAATCATCCTAATATATAAAAGCCAAAAGGGTATTATTACGAAAACAGTGAAAAAAAATTTTATATAATAAATAAATATATTTAAAATAATTTATATGATGCAATAAGCAAAAAAATCTTCACAAATTTTGAAGAAAAATTATAAGCTGCAATAAAAATATGTAAATCTGTTTAATATTTAAATTCATTAGGAATTTATAATTGTAATATAAAGCCTAATAATATACTCATAAGTGAAAACAAAAGCATTTTTCTATGTGGATGGGAAGTTTTTTTAATTGAAAAATACAAAAGCAATTATGGATATTCATCTCCAGAAGTAATTAACTATTAAAGGTAATAATATTTAGGGTAAGAAAATTTATTGAATGAAAAAAATGATGTTTGGAGTCTTGGAATGATCATATATTTTATTTTTTTTGAAGTTGATATGAGAAACTATGTGGTTTGTAAATAAAAAAAGTTCTATGAAGGATTTAATGTGATTGTTACAGAATTTCAAATTTGTAAAAATAATATTTATTTAGATAGAATAAAATCCATTATCGAAATGGCTTCTAAATTTGAATAAAAGGAAAGATGTACAATTTTTAATGTTATTTAGGCGCTTGAAAAGATTATGGATATTAATTAATGAATTTTTAATATGTTTTTAGTCTGTACTTTTATTCATAGTTTTTTATATATTTAGTTATTATCTTTATTTTAAATAGTTTAATTTATAATCATAATTTTAAAAACTATTTAAATCAAAAAATACAGATTTTAATTTAAATAAAAAAAAAATTAAATTATAGTTTTAATTTTAATTTTGAAAATAATAATAAATAATTCGAATAAATAAATATTATAAAAATAAATTAACTAAATAGAATTTAATTTATAAATACATATTAAATAATTTTATACAATTTTTTAAATCTTTTATTTAGAAAAAAAAAAATATATTTTAAATAAAATCGTAAAATTTACAATTCCATTTAAAATTTTTTAAATACAATTAATAAAATTGAATTGCTATATTACGCTTTTACTATTTTTTTTACTTAATGATTGAAATTTAGAAACTTATTAATACTATATAATTGACTAAGCAATAATTTAAGTTTCTTTATATTTATAATAAAAAGTAATTAAAATTAAAAATAACATTATTAATATTAATATTTTATTCAATATTGATTGTTAGTGTTAGCTTTTATTTTTAAAAATTTATTCTTGTTAGATTTTTATTAAAATAAATTAAATAAAAATGAAAAAGAAGAAGTTCTTTCTTTAAATTTTATTCTTATATCAAACTCTTTCAAAATTTATGTTAAAGAAAATATAAATGTAGGTAAAGATATAGAAAATTATTTACAAATAATATAAAAAATTCTAAAAATACATACTAAATTTTTAAAAAATAAATAAAAAAAATTAATTTTAAAAGGAAAGATGTAAATAAAACATTTTTACAAAAAATTTTAATAATATTAAATTTGACAATATTGATATTGTATAATGATAATAATAAAAAAGTTTCTAAAAATTTTAACAAAATGATAATTTAATTAATTTTTATAATACTATAAATAAAAAATATAAGTATATAAAAAATATCGTGGCATTTCATTTTAAAATAAAGTCCTTTAGATAAATGCATAGCAAAAAGATTTTTATTTTACAAAAATCAGATAAGAATACTCAAAAAAAATACTTTATTGATAAATGAAACGCAAAAAAGTAGTAAATTAAGGTTAGTAAAAAAAAACTAAATTTAAATAAAAAAAAAAATATTAAATTTATTTGAAAAAAAATAATTTAAAAGTTAAGAAAAAAAAAATATTCATAAAATATTGATATAAAAAAATAATAAAAAAAATATTTAAAAATAATTGTTTAAATCAAAAGTAAACTTAATATTTATAAAAAAAATAAATAATTAATTGATAAAAATTAGATTATACAAATTATTTTATTTATTATTAGATAGTATTTAAGAATACTATTTTATAATTTAAAAATTATTAATACTATAAATTAAAAATCAAATCTTAAAATTATCATATATTTTTATAAAAAAATCGTATAAAATAGTTTTAAAAAAATTAAAATATATTTATTATAAATTAGAAATATTTGTTAAAGTACAAATAATAATTGAATTGAGGTTAGGGTTTGGATTGAGTTTGGTATTGAATCAGGGATTTGAAATGGGGTTGGGGTTGAGGTTGTAATTGAGTTTGGGTGGGGTTGAGGTTTGGGTTGATGTTGGGGTTAGGTTGATTTTGGGGTTTGGGTTTATGATAAGGGGTTGGGGTTGGGGTTGGGGTTGGGGTTGGGGTTGGGGTTGGGGTTGGGGT